AAGCCTGAGCTACACAGCAAGACTGTCAGACAGGCAGACAGAGGCAAATGCAGAAGTGAGCGGAGACACAGAAACCCACACAGTCCTCAGAGTTCCAGCTTGTATCTTAGGAGAGCTGGAACAGGCTGAAGGACAACAGCGGATGTGTGACTTCTCAGGTATTAGAAGAAATCACTCCTCTCGGCCTTGCTGCTCTTGGGACCTGCCTACCCATAGCCCTGCAGGTCATATAACTGAACTTTGTGTTATCTGTTTTCAGAGTTTCTTTTATTTATTTTTTAAAAAAAGACTCTTTATTAGATGGCTAGTATTAAGCACTAAACCACATTCTAGAAGAGTTTGTTGTTTTAAAGATTCATTTTATTTTTCAATGATGTGTGTTGGAGTGTGGGCATGTGCACATGAGTGCGGGGTCCATGGAGGCCAGAGGAGGGCGTCAGACCCTCGGGGCTACAGTGAAAGGTGGCTGTGAGCGCCCAGCATCATAGCATCATAGCTCCTCTGGAGGAGCAGCAGGAGCTGTAAGCCACAGAGCCCTCTAATGTGCTTGATGACGGGGCGGGAGGGGCCGGCACTGGCACATGTGTGGAGGTCAGAAGACACCTTTAATTTTTAGTGTTTCTTTTGTTTTGTTTTGGTTTTCTTTGTTTTTGTTTTTTGAACATGTGTTTTTTTGAGATGGGGTTTCTCTGTGTAGCCCTGGCTGTCCTGGAACTCACTCTGTAGACCAGGTTTGAACTCAGAGACCCGCCTGCCTCTGCCTCTTGAGTGCTGGGATTAAAGGCGTGCGCCACCACCGCCCGGCTCCACTTGTCTACCTTTTTGAGGCAGGGTTTCACTACGTATCACAGGCTGGCCTTGAAAAGCTTGTCCTATTTTTATCTGTATGTGGTTTGCGCATCTGAATATGAGTGCTCCTGGGGCCAGGAGAGGAGCTGGAGTTGTAGGCAGTTAGGACTTCCCTGACACGGACGCTGGGTACTGTACTGCAGTCCGCTCACTTCTGGGCCATCTCTTCAGTCTCTGTTACTGTAACACTGTGCTGTTAGAAGGGTTGTGCTGTAATACAATAGATGCTCTACTGTTCACACAGCCATTAAGATAACCACTGTCTGTCTTACCTGTGTAGCCAGAAGTTAAAAGAGAAGAAGTTACTGGCAAAGAAGATGAAACTTGAACAGAAGAAACAGAAGGAAGGTGAGCCATGTCCACAGTTCTCTCAGTGCCGGTCACCATCGCTGAGGTGGCAGTGGCAGTGACCTGTGGTAGTAAAGAGCTAACGTTGTTAGCTGTTAACATATATCAGAAAGCCACATGACAGAGCCAGGCGTGGGGGCACACACCTTTAATCCCACCACTTATGAGGCAGAAGCTGCCGGATCTCCAAGTTTGAGGCCAGCCTGGTCTACACAGTGAGTTCTAGGACAGCAAGGGCTACACAGAGAAATCCTGTCTCAAAAGAACCAAAAAGGAAAGAAAGCAAGCTGGAATGGCTTCAGCAAAGAGAAAAGCTCCTGGCTCAAAGTAGGCTAGTGGAGGAGCTTACTGGGATTCTGGTCACCAGTGTCGCCGCCCAGCCTGTCCTCCACTGCCTGCTCCTCGGGCACTTCAGCTGCTGCCCTCCTCTGCTTTCCAGTTGTTCTCTACCGTGCCTCTTTTTTTCCCCCAGGAGGAGGGGTTGAAGGGCTCTCCTGTCATTTGGAGCAGAAGCCTTTTGTTTGCTACACACCCCCCTGCGTGTTTGTACATGTGTGCACATGCCCATGGAAGCCGAAGGCCAATGTCAGGTTCCTCTTTAAATTGCTCTCACTAAACCTGAGCTCACTGGTTTGGCCAGGCTGGCTTGCTAGCAAGCCCTTGGGAGCCTTCTTTCTTCTCGGTCTCCCTGGAGCTGGGATTACAAGCACTCACTGCCATGCTTGCTTTTCCACTAGTGCTAGGATCCAAACTCCGGTCCTTAGGCTAGCAGGCAAGTGCTTTTTCTGGCTAGTCCATCTCCTGATCCTCTTGGTTTTTAGTTGTTGTGACAGGATCCATGTAGCCAGCCTGGCTTGGTCTCACTGTGGGGGAAGGCTAACTGTGAACTGATCCTCCAGGTCTCATCTCCTAAGAGCAGCTGTTGGGTCTCGCCTTGGAACGTGTGTGAGTTTCAAGGGTCAAAGTCAGGTCGTCAGGTGACAGCAAGACCCACTGAGCCATCTTACCAGCCCTATCTATTGTAGTTTTGCTTATATTTTATTATTTCTTATTTTATTTTTGCTTCATGCAGTCTCATGTAGCCCAGGCTGACCTTGCACTCGTGACCCTCCTGCCTCTCCCTTCCGAGTGTGATTACAGGCCCGCCCTCTCACGTGTCTCCCGAGTGTAATTACAGGCCTGCCCCTCACGTTTCTCTAGCTCCTCGCGTTCCGTAGGCCTCATGCTGCTCCTCTGTGGACTCCTGAACACAGGCCGCTCTCACGGTCCACCTGTGTCTCACCGCCTTAAACAGAATGTGGGAGTGTCCCTCCGGATATGCTTCTTCACTCTCGCTTATATTTTGTCAAATCAGTGGAAAACTTGCTTCTGTTCAGTTGTAGTTCCTAATTGTCTACCCACAGGCTGTCTTCGCCATAATGTTTCAGCGCTCAGGAGTTGGAAGCGGGAGGGCCAGAAGTTCAAGGTTATCCTCAGAACTGCATTAAATAAATGTCATCATTGGCACCATGTGTGACCACCTGTGCATACCAAGAAATGCCTGGTTGTGTGCAGTTGGTGTTGATGAACAGAGTAGAAATAAGTCTGCGGACCTTCAGCAGTGGTTTACATGCCTGTCTTCCTGCCTTTCTGATTATGTCCTTATTTTCATTTTGTGAAAGAGTAAGATTTTCTAGTTGCCTGGTTGAAATGAGAAGTTAATGTAGTGCTGCCCGAGTGTGCCACAAGGTGGCCCCAGCACACCACAGAGCTCCTGCTGGGTTGGCAGTGACCCATCTGGAGTTCTCTGCTTCTTCTTAAGAAGGGGCTGGGAGCAGGGCAGGAAGGGCAGCTGCCTAAGGTTGTGATCTGTGCTGTGTAGTAACTCAGCACCCTGCAGTGTGGGACCTGGGTTTCAGTGATGGCAACTGGTTGGCTAGGAGCCAGTTTGAATTCTTCTGAGTCCCCGAGAGGCCCCAGTGATGCACCACACTTTCACTTCCCTAACACAGCTGCCTCCCAAGGGACTCTGGGCTGACTTTAAAGGCTCTCTGTCACTGGACACAACTAGAGCTCTTTGCCAGACTCAGTGCTGGCTGTGTCTTGGCCTTATTTTCCCTTTGTCTAGAGGGCTCAGCCACTGCTTAGTACAACAGAAGCAGCCATTTCCTCTTGATTATTCCTTTAAAAATATCTCCTGACACTGCCAGATGTTCCCTAATCAGAAGGGCACAGAATTCCCCTTGAGTTAGAGATGTTCTCTAGAGGCATCTGTCTGGATGGCTCCTAGTGTGTGCTTTGGACCAACGTTCAGAGCCACAGGCTTAAGTGTAGTGGACTGGAAAGCTGTCCTGTTCTTTGTCCTTTGATCATGAAGCCATTGTATCCCTGGCTCAGGAATCTTCTAGAGTACACTGAAGAGGTGTGGAGAATGATAGTCAACTATAACCCTTACTAAAAACAATAGTTAACGGATTGCTGTTTTCCCTTGCTTTCAGTTTCTTCATACATGTGCCCTGTTCTTGTCAACACCGCATAGAACTTTACCACAGAACTTGTATCACAGACCATTTCCCGTGACTTTGCAGTTCCATAGTACTAGGGGGTTTTGTTTTGCTCTGCTTTGGGATGGAGGATGTTTAGTTTTGTGTGTTGCCTGTCCATTCTATCTGGGGAAAAACACAAAAACTGTCATCTTCAGTTTTATTCAGTGGTATGTCTGTAATAAAGTCTCCAAATGGGCCACACTGTGGCTCAGGGTAAAGGTGCTTACCAACAAGCCTGAGGGCCTAAGGTCAGTCCTCAGGCCCTCTGGAAGAAGGAAAGGACTCTCTCAGCTCGTCCTGTGAACCCACACATGTATCACAGCATACATGCCTACAAACACACACACACACAAATACATATATGAGATAATGGGTTTAAAGTAGCGTGTGAACTAAATGGTAAAGAGTAATGAAAGGTGGGGGTGGTGAGATGACTTAGTGGGTGAATGACTTGCCAACCAGCCTAGCAACCAAGTTCAGTACCCAGAACCCACATAGTAGAGGAGAGAACTGACTCCTGGCTTCTATGTGTGCTTTGGCACCACACCCATACACGTACACAGTAGAGAAGTTAATATTTTAAAAAGTAACGGAAGGAAATAATTACAAAGGAAATATCAGAGCAAGTTTGGTACTGTAATTTCAGCACTCAGGAAGAGTGTCGACTGTTAGAAGATCCTGTCTCAAATAAAGCCCCAATGTCAACATGCCCTCCTCCAAAGAGATTACTATTCCTTCCTAGTGTTTTGGGGAGTGATTTTTAGACAGGGTCATCTGTGGTGATTTGAATGAGAGTGGCTCACAGTGGCTCGTGTATGTGCGTGCTTAGCCATGGTTGGGACAGTTTGAGAGGTGGGGTATGACCTTGTTGGATGGGCGTGTCCACCTCGGAGGATTTGCATTTGTTTCTGGGGGAGGGTGTTGAGGTTTAAAAAGCTGGAGCCACACTGGGCATTGTCTCTCCCACCACCATCCCTGCCTGTACTAGCCTGCCCACTGCCATGACGATCATGGACCAAGCCTGGAAACTGTAAGCAGGCCTCCATTTAAATGCTGTCCTTTGTAAGAGTTGACTTGGAGCTGGGCAGTGGTGGCACACGCCTTTAATCCCAGCACTTGGGAGGCAGAGACAGGTGGATTTCTGAGTTCGAGGCCAGCCTGCTCTACAGAGTGAGTTCCAGGACAGCCAGGACTATACAGAGAAACCCTGTCTCGAAAAACCAAAAACAAAAAGAAAGAGTTGACTTGGTCATGGTGTCTCGTCACAGCAATAGAACAGTGACTCTGAGACTGGCTTGAACTCACAGTGGTCTGCCTGCCTCTGGTTCCTAGCACTAGGATTAAATGCATATGCCACCACGCTCAGATTTGTTGTTTGTTTGTTTGTTTGTTTGTTTGTTTGTTTGTTTTGAGACAGGGTTTCTCTGTGTAATCCTGTCTGTCCTGGAACTCATTCTGTAGACCAGGCTGGCTTTGAACTCAGATTCACCAATTTCTACTTTCCAGTGCTGGGCTAAAGGTGTACGCTACCACCAGCTGGCCAGATTTTTTATTTTGTATTTTTATTTTATTAAAATTTCAGGCTGATTTCAAATCCACTGTGTAGATGAGAATGGCTTTGAACTCCCTCCACCTCCCAAGTGGTGGGATTACAGATGTGAGCTTCCAGTAAGGGTGTGTGTGTGGGGGGGTACTGTTAGTATGTACATTTGAGTGTAGGTACCCACAGAGGCCAGGAGAGGGCATTCTTTTCCTTAGAGCTGGAGTCAGAGTTGTGAGTCATCTCTGCGGGGAATAGGAAATGAACTAAGGGTCGTGTGGGAGAGTAGTAAGTGTGCTTAGCTGCTGAGCCATCTCTCCAGCTCCTCAGACTTTCTTTAAATATGCTTCGCTTTATAACGTTTTGCTGGGCTTGAACCTGGGGCAAGCAGTCTACCACCGAGCTGCATCTCCAGCCGCTACAGTGGTTTTAGATTCACAGAAAGTCGAGATGGTGATATAGGGTTCTCACGCACCCAGTTTCCCCTGTATGATGCCTGATCTCATTACGGTTAGTAGTTTGTTTCCTTCCCTTACCCAGCGTCCTCCCTTCCCCTTCCCTTCCTCCTGTTGCAGAATTCAGCACAGAGCCCCACAGTGCTAGGTCGTCTGTGGCTGTAGTGCCATTGACTGAGACAGCTGCTCAGAGTTACCTGAGCCAGTGTCTGTATGGCGTCCCTCTACTAGGGTTTGACTGATGTCTCGTGTGCGTGGACTGGAGCTGCTGGAGCATATGCCATTGTCATTAGACCACTGGCACGTCCAGGCTGGACAGTGTGGGTGACTGACGTGACTTGGCACTTTCCAGTATCTCCGCATCCCAGCTTACTGCTGTTGGTGCTGATGTTGGCAACACCACAGAGGTAGTGGTTATCAGATGTGCTCACTAAACATTCACTGCTCTTCCTCCAATTAAGTTACGTGGGAAGAAAGTTTCCCATGTGCAGCCCATACCTAAAGGACTGAGGTCTAGTCAGGCGCCTCTGAAGGCAGAGATCTACAACATCCGGTTAGGAGCCGGTCTCCGTCTACATAAGTGTTTTTGAGAACAAACCTATGTGTGTGACCCAGTCATTCTTTACCTTGTTGGAATTGTCTGTTGTCCCTGTGTTGAAGCCCCATCTTGTGTGCCTGCCTACCACAGGTTTCCAGCACTCCCTTATTTGCTGTACTGTAAGATACTCTAGGCTCATCTTGAGGGTTTCCTGCCCTCCACCTAGCATCCGGTGAGCATCCAAGATAACTGTTATGGGGTCGAGAGAGAATGGAATTACTTATCTTTGACTGGCAATTCTGTTGTGCAAGTGTCCTGGAGTGTGTGACATTGCTGGGTGATGAGGCCTGGTGGGTCCACTGTCATAACGACATGATCGTCAGCTGATAGGAGTCACTGCAGCATATGGGGGGGGGGGTGTCCTGAGCAGTACCGTGGGTACTGGGTGGTCACCGTGTGTCCACAGGAAGTTAGTCATGAGTTTGTAGTGACGTGTCCAGCTCTCCTGTATCATCAGTGCTCAGTCTGCCCGTGTCCACCTTACTGTCTGTCCCACACGCACCATGCTCTTCACTCAGTGCATGTCATTCTTACTGGTTGAGAGTCACTGTTCTCTGGGGGCAGCAGCTATGTAAACCACAGCACAGGGACCCTTTTTCTTAGAATTTTTAATTTTATGTATGAGTGTTCTGTCCGCGTGTATGTATGTGAACTACATGCATGTCTGGTGCCCACAGGCGTCCAAAGAGTGGGTCAGATCCCCCGGAACTGGGGTTACACATGGTTGTAAACCACCATGTGGGGGCTGGAAACCCAACCTGAATTCTCTACAAGAATATCTGGTGCTCTGAAGTACACCATCTCTCCAGTCCCATTGTATGGATCTTGTCCACCAGTCAAATATACAAAGTAGTTTCACTGTCCTGAAAAGTCCCTGGTGAGTCAGCTGAGGCCCTGCACTGAGGACCTCCCCCGTCTCTTCCAGGCCAGCTCCCGCCCACTCTCCTACTCTCAGGACAAGAGGAGGGGCTCCCCAGCAAGTTGTCTGTGCTGTTCTCTGGGCCAGCTTAGCTGTGCCATAGTGCTAGCAGCAGTGTTAGAATATGCTAGACGCTTAAGAGCTGCCCATACTGTATCAGGAGAGAAGTCCTAAGACATGTGTGGGAAACGCCAGGAGGCTGACATTGGTGTTGTGGGCACAGCCCCTTCTTCATAAGCTTTTGTTTGTACAGAGCTTTGAAGATCCTCTTGCCGTCTGCAGTGAGAACCTGAGGCTCAGGCAGGGGAGGTTGGCAGCCCAGTGGGAGATGCGAAAGGCCTGGGTGTCTTTCATGGTGCCCATGTAGCCATTGATATAGATGGTGGGACCGTACACTCATGGGCCTGGTTTTGGGGTGTTGGGTTCTAATGTGTACAGCCAGGACTTTTTGGTTAGACTGGGGTGCTCCTGAGAGCAGTGTAGATTGCTTCTGTGGTGGACCTTCCAAACAGTGGCATTGGGTACTCACTGGTACTCACAAAGGCCACCTCTGGCTCTGGGAGGCTGGTGCTGAGGAGCAAGCCTCAGCTCCCTCCTCTTTTTTTTTTTTTTTTTTTTTTTGATTTTTCGAGACAGGGTTTCTCTGTATAGCCCGGGCTGTCCTGGAACTCACTCTGTAGACCAGGCTGGCCTCGAACTCAGAAATCCGCCTGCCTCTGCCTCCCAAGTGCTGGGATTAAAGGTGTGCGCCACCACCGCCCGGCCATCCCTCCTCTTTTTGAGACAGGGTTTGCTGCCCAAGCTAGCCTCAGACTCACTATACAGCTGAAGATGGCCTTGACCTTTTTATCTCCTGCCTCCATCTTGAAGGTATTGGGATTATAGGTATAGCTTCAGTATATAGACTCTTCTTCATTTAAAATCCCCTATCTCTCTGTTCAATCTGTCTGCTTATGATTTGAATGTTGTGTGCTTACAGAACCCAGTCAGTGCCAGGAGCAGCATGCCAGCAGCTCTGAGGAGGCATCTGGAACAGAGGAGGAGGAAGAGGAGCCCAGTGCCATCATCATGGGCCGATAAGGAGTTTCAGAAGTCGTGAGCCCAGCTCATTCTGTGACCATCCTCAAAAAAGAAAGGGCTGTGTGTGACCAGCTCCAGACTGGCTGTGCTGGGAGAGGCAGGAGCCTCCTGCAGCCGCTGCCTCTGCCGGATGCAAAGGCAGCATCCCTTAGACGTTTGCAGATTGCATACTATATCCTGCCCTCCTCTTGCTGAAGGGAGTGAGTGCCTCACCGCCCCCTGGTGCCTGTTCCCTTCTGCTTGAACAGCAGTGAGCCCTGGGCTGGTTTCTGTGAAGGGAATATTTATTTAGTAAAGAGCACAAAGCCTGTGGGTCTTGTCCACACGTGCGAGATGTTGACTACCAAAGCCTCAGCAAAGCCGTGGAGTGACATAGACTGGGCCTAGAGATCGGCAGGTCCTCTTCTGCAGACCTTCTAGGCCTATGACCCAAGCACATGGACTTGGTTCTAGGAACGGCTTGCATGTCAGGTGCACAGCCCTGTCCATTTACAGAGCAGTAGAATTCAAAGCTGAAGATGTGTGCTCACCCAGCAGTTCTCAAACCAAGTATGAGCCAACGGGGCCTTCAGTAGGGGGAAGGAGAGAGGATCCAGGAAAACAACAAGTGATGAAAGAGGCGGAGTGTCCCAGAGAGCTGGGAGATGGAGACACATACTGGCCAAAGCCTTCCTCCATCCTTAGACGGGAGGCCTAAGCCGAGAGGGACTGGAGAAGGTGCAACTCTCAGATGTGGAAAGCCCTCCTGTCAGGATTTGGAGGCAGCCAGTCTTTCCACTGAGTGTCCTTGAGTGACTGGTTCAAACCTTCTGTGTGTACTGGCCCAGAGTGCAAGCAACACCCACAGGCATCATGGAGGACCAGGCATCATGCCAGGGAGAAGAGAGGTGACCCAGTACTGCCTTGGTCCTCAGAGCCATCAGGCCAGTGGGGTGGCAAGCAGTTTCTAGTTTTGTGGTCTGGAGTGTCTCCAGCTTCTGAGTGTGTTGTGTGCCTTTTATGGATGTTGGTAGCATTTTGAGTGAAGGGAAAGCTAAGAATATCTTCTACTTTTTAAGTTTTTTGTTGTTTTTTGACAGCTCATAAATGTTTACAGTGTATTTTGACCAGGTTTACTCCCGTTCTCTTACCCCTCCCCCACCGACCCCTTTCCTAACAGACCCCCTCCTCTTTCATGCCTTGTTTCTGGGAAGGCACACCGAGTGTCTTCAGGTTTGCCGAATGAGCTTGAGTGAAACCTGGGAACCTTCCCAGTGGCCCTGCCACAGAAGAAAGTGACCCCCTCTCCTTTTACCTCCATAGCACAGATTCCATGGGCCCACTCTGAGCCATGTGACATCTGTGATAACCTCTGTCCCTTTAGCAGTTTGAGACACATGAGATAGATGTTCCTGTCTGTTAGGACTGGTGTTGTGGTTTTGTGACTTGTTTTTAGTTCTCCCTTTACCCATCTGTGTCAAGGTTCTTGCTTTGAACCTGCAGCCTAGACCTCACGAGATTTTGCTCCTATTAGCTGGAGTAACAAGGCTGGGCCTAAAAGCCTTACCCTCTGCTGCCTCAGAGCTCTGGACAAGTCCCTTCCTGCCTCTGCCAGTTTGCCTGGCCCAGAGCTGCATTCAGCACATGTGTCCAGCAGCTTGGGAATGACTAAACAAAGGACTCCAGGCTGACTGACGGCGAGGAGGAAGCATCTGGGGGGAGAAACTTCTGGCTAAGGGGTTATCAGTACTCTAGGTTAGCTGACTCTTGGTGTATCTTCAGACTGTTTAAGGAAATGGAGCAATTAGGTGGCGTCACTGAGGCGGCTGGGTGATACTGCCAGCCACCTCAAAGCCACAGAGAGAAGGATCCTGCAGTTACGTGTTTGTTGAGGGCTCATGGGTAGAGAACATCCTGGCAGCAAACCCCAAGCCTGCTGTAGCATAGCTGTCTCAGAAAGCCTCGTTACTATGGTCATCCCACCCCAAACACACCCAGTCTTTCCTGACCTCAGAAGCTAAGCACGCTTGTCCTGGGCTCCTCAGGAGGCACAGATGTCTCTGAGGGTCCTGATTTACCCTTTTCATTCACTCTTTCAACAGCCATGTCCTGAGCACCTTGTTTAACAGCCTGGTCATTTAGAGAAGAATATTAGATTCTGTTAGATTTCTCATGGAGTTTCCCAAATGAGGTTACTCTTGTTACAGATGGTGTGGCTGGGGTTTAACCAGCCATTGTGACTAGGACTGTCATGGATATGCTGTCCTGGAGAGAGCTTGCTAGTAGCATCACTTCAGCAAGAGTGTCCCATGCTTCCCAGGCTGAGGATGTATAGCCTTGCTTTCATGAGCACATGGTGTGTGTGTGAGAGAGAGAGTGATGACTGTTTCATAAAAGATTGTTTTTTCTAATGATAATGTGTGGTTTATGAGCCTGTGCGTACATTCTAGGGGCCAAAGGGCATCACTGTCATGCTCTATATACTCCCTCAAGACACAGCATCTCTGAGCCTGGAATGAGGTTGGTGGCTAGCAGGCCCTAGCAATTTTCTTCTCTGACCCCCACAGTACTAGGGTTACAGGTATGCATACCCAGCTTTTTAGTGGGTGCTGGGGATTTGAACTCATGTCCTCATACTTGCATGGCAAGCACTCTTACACATTGAGAAATCTCCTCAGCCCTTGTAATAAACTATAATCAGGGGCTGAAGAGGTGGCTCAGCAGTTAAGAGCATTTACTGTTCTTTCTGAGGACCAGTGTTTGGTTCCCAGCATCCACATAACAGCTTAGAACTACCCATTAACTCCAGTTCTTAAGGACCTAGCACCCACTTTTGACCTCCATTGGCACTAGGCATGCCTGTGATGTGCCAACCTACATATATGCAGGCAGACAAAACACATAAAATCTTTAAAAAAAAAAAAAGATTCTATTAGAGCTCACCCCCATTTTGCACGGATTCCATACTTGTGAATTGCTTATTTATTAAAATTTGTGTGTAGCCCACAAATCCACACTTGCCTGCATACAATGTCAAAAAGTTTTAGTGGCCTCTCAACACTTTCCCAGCTGAGGTTGAAGAAGTCAACCCCACGTCTTGTTTTAGCTCATATTCTCTGTGCCCTTCCCAGGCCTAGTACCCAGTGTTCTGTTGGCAGAGTTGCCGTTTTAAAGGTCTCTCCGGGCATCATGCTAGGATGCCTAAGAGCAGGAAGTGTGTTTGATGAGCTTCCCTCAGCATTTAGTATGGCGGCACTGCTGCCTGCGAGCCTTGCGTTCATGACTCAGTGGTAGACGGTGAGTAAGGGGGCATGGTAAGTGTTCAGCTGGTGATGCCAAGCCTGGGACCCACGTGGTAGAAGGAGAAAACCAACTCCCAGAAGTTGTCCTCTAACTTCCACACACATAAATAAATACATGTAATTTTATTTATGTATGTATTTGGGGTTTCTTTTTTTTTTTTTTTTTTTTGAGGCAGCATTTCTCTGTGTGGCCCTGGCTGTGCTGGAGCTCACTCTTTAGACCAGGCTGGCCTCATACTCAGAGATCCACCTGCCTCCCAAGTGCTGGGATTAAAGGAATGCACCACAAATGTTTTAAAAGTAAGTATGGAGTCCTCAACCACACTCAAAGTGGTATATTGTGTCAGTCAGCTTTTGGAAATAGGCACAGAAGACTCAACCCCGAGTCAGGGTTCAGTACTCAGCAATGCAGAGTTGATGTGAGAGGGGTGTCAGCTGTGTGTGTGTGCGTGCAGGTGTGCACTCACGGTCGTCTACAGAGTGTGTGAGCAGTTCCCCCTTGCACCCACGCCTTGCAACTCCAACTCCACAGCTCAGTGGCCACAGCACGGCCCGGTCTGCCTACTTCTCAGACTTGTACTTTACCTGGGTGGTACATCTCTACCCCTTAGGCCTTCAGTGTGACCTGCCTTTTCAACAACCATTTCTTAAGTGTGGTGAGCACAGAAACCTTCAGCCTCCCATGCTTTCCACCAGCCCACTCCAGCTGGGTGTGGTTCCATCCTGTGGACTAAACATCTGTCTACTGCTTCAGCCAGCAGATGAGCTCTGATGCAACCAAGTAGCAAGGACCCTGTCTCCATGTCTCCTAAGCCTGCCCTATATCTCTTTAAGGCCGACTCCCAGTGTCCTGGTTTACACACTACTAGAAGCTAAACTAGGGGATTGCCTCCATCACATTGGCCTAGAGACATGTATCTGTGACTCATTTTCTTGACCAGTGGGCCTAGTCCACTGTGGGCAATGCCATCTCCAGGCAAGTGGACGTGGGCTGTATAAGGAAAGGCGTGAATGAGCCAGTAAGCAGTGTCCTTCCATGGTCCCTGCTTCAGTTCTTGCCCTGACTCACTTGATGGACTGTAAGCCCGTAAGCCACATAAGCCCTTTCTTCCCCAGGTCACTTTTGGTTAGTGTTTGATCTCGGCAACAGAGAAGCAAACAAAGATACACCCCTTCTCCTCATCCCATGTCAGTGTCCCCTGGGATCTTCCTTCCCAAGCTGGCCCCTCGGTGACCCTGTTCAGTCATGGACAGTCAGCATTCCTGAAAATGCTTGCCTGCTTCCCGTCCTGTCTTCCTGGCTCAAGCCCCCGAGAGTTGAGTGATGCAGCTCTCCTCTGTCCACAGCAGAAAGGCCCCAGGAGAGCCTGTCTTGCTTTGGATGTCAAATTAAACGGTCCATTCTGAGTCTGGGGTCTCATCCCCAGAGTCTGCCCGACACACCTGTGTTCCAAGGTCACTCAATGGTTTCTCCGGGGTGTATGGCAGATACCTCAAGTCTAGTGTAAGAGAAGGAATCTCAGCTTGGGCATATTCTTCCCCCCTCTTCCCATGCACACACTAGCTCGGGGATCAGAGTCACCCCGGGTCTACCCTTCCCCACATGTGGTCCTGAACCTGCTTGCTCCTGTGGGCTCTGCCTCGTGTCCCCATCCACACCACTCATATCTGCAGCCTGATGGCTAACATGGTCTCTGAGCATCGTAAGCCTGCCAGTCCTCCCATCAGAAACAGCTATCACATGCTCGGTCCCCTCCCCCCACAGCCTCAAACCTCAGCTTTTAAGAGCCAGAGCCTTGTTGGTGGCTGTAATCCCTGGTGCCAGCAAGAAGTTCAGGACATGATAGTAAATACCTGGGAAATAGTTAAGGAAATCACAGAGACTGAAAGCCAACGGAGGACTTCTTCAAGCTTGAAAGGAATGTGTCAGCATGCCTGTCTGCAGGATGCTGCCAGAAAGTTGACCCATGTGCAGTAACTATGGAAGAGCACTTCAGAATCCAGTGAGGTGGCTCATGGGTGAAAGTACCTGCTGCCAGTCTTGATGACCTGAGTTTGACCCCCAGACTAAATGACAACCTCTGAAAGTTGTTCTTTAGTCTTAGTACACACACCTGTCCTTACACACATCACAACAAATTCTAGATTCTGGAGTTGTGACCCAGTTAATAGAGTGTTTATCCAGGCTACATGAAGTTCTGGGTTTGAGATCCAGTTCTACATAAATTGGGGGTCATCGGGCAGAGAGTGGTGGCGAACACCTTTAATCCCAACACTTGAGAGGCAGAGGCAGGCAAATCTGAGTTTGAGGTCAGCCTGGTCTACAGAGCAAGTTCCAGGACAGGTGAAATTTTTAATTTACCTGTTTATAGCCTTAATCTTATATAAAATTTGTCAAATTGAGTTAAAGGAGCATTTTAGTTTTATTTCAGATACTATTATGTTTTTTAAAAACCTGACAAATAACTTAAGCATGGAAGGATTTTGTTGTTGTTTTTGTTTGTTTTTATTTTTGTTTTTTTAACTAACAACAGCTATACAGTCCAACAGTGTGGACTTCAAGGCAGGAACTTCAAACAGCTAGTCAGATCATGTCTACAGTCAAGAGCAACGAGAAGTTAACACATCCTTGCTAACTACTGCTGAGCTCAGCTTCTCCGCCCCCACATAGTTCAGGATCCTTTGCCTAAGGAATGGTGTCACTCACAGTGGGCTGCGTCTTCCCACATCAGTTAACTTGAGACAATTTGAGACTGGAGGGATGGCTCAACAGCTAAGAGCACTGGCTGCTCTTCCAGAGCTCCTGGGTTCAATTTTCAGCATCTACATGTTGGCTCACAACTGTCTGTGACTCTAGTTCCAAGGAATCTGATACCTGGTGTCTGAGGCATGACACACACATGGTGCACAGATCTACATTCAGGCAAACACTAATAACACATTATGATTTGAGTAAGAATGACCCCGATAGGCTTATGTATTTGGATGTATGGTTCTCAGTTGGTGGACTGTTTAGGAAGGATTAAGAGGTGTGGCCTTGCTGAGTGGTGGTGGGGCACACCTTCAACCCTAGCACTTGATTGGCAGAGGCAGGTAGATCTCTGAGTTTGAGTACAGCTTGGTTTACAGAGCGAGTTCCAGGACAGCCAGGGCTACACAGAGAGACCCTGTCTTGAAATACAAGCAAAAAATAGGTGTGGCCTTGGAGGAAGCATGTCATTGGAGATAGGCCCTGAGGTTTCAAAAACCCACAAGATTCCACTCTGCTTTCTCTCCCTCCATCTCGTGGATAAGATGTAAGCTCTCAACCACTGCTCCAGCACCATGCTTGCCTGCCTGCTGCCATGCTTCCCTCCATGATGGCTGTGGACTAACCCTCTGAAGCTGTAAGCAACTCCCAACTAACTTTCTTTTATAAGTTGCCTTGGTCATGGTGTCTCTTCACAGCAATAAGGCAGTATCTAAGCCCACATTTAAAAATAAATAAGTTTTAAAAAGACAGTTTCCTACATATGTGCCCATAGGGCAACCCAAAGTAGACAGTCCGTCATTCAAATTTTCCTGGTGATTCTAAGTTGTGTCAAGCTGACAAACTTTTTAGTTTTATTTATTTTTTAATGCATATGTTTTACCTGATGTATATTTGTATACCACATGATCCAGTGCCCATGGAGCCAGAAGAGGGCATCTCCTCGGACTGGAGTTACAGATGGCTGTGAGCCACCGTGCGGGTGTCAGGAACAGAACTCGGGTCCTAAAGAAGAACAGCAAGTGTTCTTAACCACTGAGCCAGCTCTCCAGCCCTAACAATTAAAACAAAAACTCACAAGGAATGGCACTTCTACTTGGCAATCTGAGCCTGTCTTTGCAGGACCGGGGACTTGGCTGCTTCCCAAGGCAGCACAGAAGGAGATTGGGCAGAAACTGCTTTCCCTCCTGGCCCAAGAACCAGGCAGTCTTTTTCTCTCCTTCAGAATTTAATTTCTGTTTACTCTCTGGCGTCCTCCACTAAAGTGAGCTGTAATTACCATATATTAGCATGTATTTCCATAAAGAGAACACTCTCAGAAATCAACCTGGAGGGAGTCCAGAGAAGCCCTTTTCAGCTTCCTCATTCCATAGAACATAGTAAATGTTTACTGAAAGCCGAGCAAGTGCTCACCCTGGGATTCCAGAGCCAACAAGAGCCTGGGGTATTGTGGAGACAGGAGGCTGGGAACTTCGAGGGCTTCTTGAGGGGATCTTTCACAGTGGAATGTGGTCTAGAGGAAGGCCCAGGCAGTGATGCCTCCAGAGGGGTGAACATCCTGACATAGAGGCAGGTGAGGCTAGAGGAAATGGGAGGAGGCCAAATGGGTTCCCAGGGAGGACAAGCACCTGGGATGATATAAAATGGACTGTAGCCAGGCGGTGGTGGCGCACGCCTTTAACCCCAGCACTCGGGAGGCAGAGGCAGGCGGATCTCTGAGTTCGAGAGTTCGAGGCTAGCCTGGTCTACAGAGTGAGTTCCAAAACACCCAGGGCTACACAGAGAAACCCTGTCTCGAAAAAACAAAAATAAATAAATAAATAAATAAACAAATGGATGGTAATGGCTGGTCAGACGACTCAGTGGTTAGCAGCGGCTGCTGTCTTGCAGAGGATGGAGTTCGAGTCTTAGCCCCACGTCAAGCAGTTCACAACTGCCTATAACTCCAGCTCCAGGAGACTCTTCTGGCTTCTGCAGGCATCCTTACACATAGACACATAGACACACACACACACACACACACACACATTTTTAAAAGTGGCAGGCTAGAGAGATGGTTCAGTGGTTAAGAGCACTTCTTGTTCTTGCAAGGGATGTGGGTTCAATTTTCAGCACCCACATATTGGCTCACAACCATCTGTAACCCTAATTTCAGGGACTCCAATAGGCACACATATATGCATGCAAATAAAATATCCATACACACAAAGTAAATAACAATTTTTAAAAGTCCTTAAAAGCAAAAACCAACCGTGTGCGTATAAAGAACAACCACAGATAGGAACAACAAAGTCTGAGAGAGACGCCTGGTAGGGAGCGCTTGCCTGCTTGAAGCACTAGCCTCCAGCCCCAGCTCCACGTAAACCAGCCATGGCAG